CCGTGTCGGTTTCAGATTCTTCATCGCATTCATGGTTTTGTACCGTCAAACGTATTTGATTTGAATACCTCCTTCTTACAAAAAAACTGGGTGTAAATTTCAACTCCGTTTTTTACCCCCGAGTAAGAACAAGAGGACCCTCTCCTGAGAACTTTGACGTTTAATCGACGTTCTTCCGCATCGTGTCATTTTCAGTCAAGTAGGTATACCAAACGGTTCATCCAGTATTCATTCGCATGATTTCATGTTTGTCACCCGTCAAACGTTAATTTGAGTGCGAGATACCTGTCTGTTTCAAAACATCATGGTGGTAGTCTTTTCATCCTCGCTTGTACGACGCGACAGGAACAACAGACCTCCCCTGACAACTTTGAGTTTAACTGACCGTTTTTCATCGTGGGGTCATTACATCAACGCCTAGTATAGCAAAGCCGTTTCATCGAATTCTTCATAGACGTTTCTCGCTTTAGTCCCGTCAAAGTGTATTTGACGAATACCTGCTCGTTTGAGGCAGAAAAATCTCGGCGTCGTTCTCTCGTAATTTCCAAACTGTTTTTACGAGAGAGAACAAGAGTTGACCTCTCCTTTGAAACTTTCGAGGTTTGAATGGAGTCTTTTGTACATGTGGTCGTTTTCCATCAAACGTTATAATAGTCAAACGTTCATCCAGGATGTCTTCAGATTCATGTTGGTAGGTCCCGTCGACAAGTATTTGAGTGAATAGCTTTCTTACAAAAAAATCTGCTCTTGTAATTGTCCACGACTGGTTTTGTTACGAGTAAAAACCAACGACCGACCTCTCCTCGAACACTTTGTCGGCGCGTCTGCCAGGCGTGCTTTCGACGTTTAATGACTTTTATCATCGTCGTCAATTTTCGCTCATCAAGTAGTAATACGAAGCTCGTTCATCCAGATTGCTTCATAGATGTTCATGTGTTGTACCGCGTCAAACGTATTTTCCGATCGAATGGAACCTCTCGTTTACAAAAAATACCGGGTGCGCAGTTTCAATCTCGGGTTTTTACCCACCGGAAGGAACAAGAGACCTCCCTTAAAACGCCCCGTAAGAGTTTTTTCATTCCCGTCCGTCATTGTGTCCCATCAAAGTATCAATACACACCGTTGTTTCAAATACTTTCCGTGGATTCACGGATTTTGATTAAGAGTTAATTATCGGGACAAGCGAGTTCGCGCTTTTATTTTATATGTTACTTGCGTCGTACGGTAGGAAGATGAAACTTTAGGTCGAAGGCGTCCCCCAAAATTAACAAACATATGTGTCAGTGATTTCATGTCAATTCGGCGAACATAAACATAAATGATCGTGGTGAAGATGATGATTAAATTAGGATTAAAAATCGAGAGCCGGGCTGCATTTCCTCCTGTTCGTTTTTTTCGACTAAACAACATTATTTTGTTAAATAACAACATGGTGATGTTTTGTAAATGATTACATGTCTCTTATTTAGCACAGAGTATGATATCCGTGACATATGGATCTTAACAAAGTTCCGCTGTACATCCAGCGTACTGTATCTGACTTTATTTCACATGAGCTCCAGTGTGGAACCCCACTGCACCCCCTGGTGGATCAATGATCCATTGCAGCTGGCTTAATTATAATTACATTTATCTATCACGGGGGCGGTCTCAAGTCAAACTGGAGGTTTTCCCTTGAGCGAGCGCAGATCACGTACCAATCACGGCCCTCGCGTTTCAAACTGTCTGAAATGAATCGCTACATCTGTAAATGCCACATGTACTCCACGACGTTAGCGGCTAACTAGTTAGCTGAAAAACGGCTCACTCTCAGTTTATGTACAATTCTTTTAAAAAGCGATACACTACGGAATCTAAAGACATTTAGCTAAACATAAAATATAACCAATAAATGCAGATAGATTATACACAGAATAGTACACGTAGATCACAATTATTATTATTATATTTACAACTGAGTGAACAGAACAACAACTCACCCAAAGCTAAGAATCCTCTAACACTGACGGATTCCCAAAATGCACCACATTCAGCGCAACACTAGCTTCCGGCTGCGGCTTTTCAAAATAAAATAAAATTACAAAACTATGGCTGTAGTCCCAGTTTAACAGGATTTAATAAAACATACATTAATTATTTACACTGTTACACATCCATGGGTAGAAACTAGGGCTGTCAAGTTAATGCGTTAATAACGCGTTAACGCAAAAAAAAATTAACGCCACTAATTATTTTAACGCGATTAACGCATGTGTATTTTTTGTCCTCGGCCGCCCCGTAGTTTCAGAGCGCATTGAGTTTAAAATACGCATTGAGTTTAAAATACCACCTACAAGCTGATGCTGACAGCCTCGCTCCTGCCGTCCGCCTGCCGTCTCCGTCAGCATTTCACATTGGACGGAAAGGGTATTCCTTAGGGAGAACACTTCTTGTTTGTGATTGGACAGAGCCAGCCAAAGAAGCACTCTGATTGGTTGTTTTTGCTGCCAGTCAAGAAATGACGCTTCGTGATTGGCCCAACACATCAGCCATTAGCTGTTAGCACACACTCAGAGCTCACAGGCAGCTCCTCATATCTGTTCAGAAACTGGACAAAAGTTAAACATGTACAAAACACAGACTGTCTATGTCATGGCGAATACAGTCGCTGCTTTATTTATGTCTGTATGACGTTGTTGTGAGTGTGGACGGAGCAGCTACAGGTTAGTTTAGCCTGATGGATCCGATTCCATTGTCTGCAGACTTGTCAAAGCATTAATTCATGGTTTTTATTAACCGGTATCAGTTTGTAGTTACTTCGGCATCACTTTGAAACGTGTATTACAATTAAATCACGGTCAAATATGTTCATTTTGTTGTAGTTGGTATCTCCCATAGGATTTACATGGAGATACGCCCCGCCCCCTCTCCAGCGCATCTTGTTTGAATGACAGGAGCAAACACAACTGCCGCGGTGAAACTCGAGCGATTAGAGCGATGCGAATATTGGGTAGTCTACCATAGTATTTACATGGAGATAATAAGCCCCTTAAAAACCATGAATTAATAAAGCATTAATTCTGTGTTTACTGCTGTCATTCAAACAAGACACTGGAGAGGGGGCGGGGCGTATCTCCATGTAAATCCTATCGGATCCATCAGGCTAAACTAACCTGTAGCTGCTCCGTACACACTCACAACAACGTCATACAGACATAAATAAAGCAGCGACTGTATTCGCCATGACATAGACAGTCTGTGTTTTGTATATGTTTAACTTTTGTCCAGTTTCTGAACAGATGTGAGGAGCTGTGAGCTAACAGCTAACAGCTGATGTGTTGGGCCAAGCGTCATTTCTTGACTGGCAGCAAAAACAACCAATCACAGCAGTGCTTCTCTGGCTAGCTCTGTCCAATCACAAACAAGAAGTGTTCTCCCTAAGGAATACCCTTTCCGTCCAATGTGAAATGCTGTGGTGTTTTGGGAAAGGCTGTGGCGTTTTGTGAAATGCTGTGGCGTTTTCTGAAATGCTGTGGTGTCTTGCACTTCAGGGCCACCGTAATGCTTTGTTATCATAATACATTTACTTTTAGCACCTTGGTAGTAGGCATCTAGCTCTTGTATCGGTAGCAGCTTTTACTGAATGAAAGACTGAGGGTTAACAGTTTCGCACATAACTGTTCAAGCTCCTTTCATAACCCCTTCATGTGAATTAGTAATTGTATATTGGTCATGTGGCTAAAAAAGGTAAGGTAACTAGAGGAGCCACATCATGACAGACATGCAACTTAAATATTTTGCAGAAGCATTTTGTCTTTGACCATTGCCTGGAAGCTACTTTATGATCAACATTCACAGAGGGAGACTTCAGTTGTGTATGTGTGTGTGTGTGTGTGTTTGACAGGAAAGAAGCTGTCTGATTTGGAGAGGGTAACTTCTCTAAAGGTCTACAACTGGTTTGCCAATCGGCGTAAAGACATCAAGAGGCGCGCTAACATTGGTAATGTCTATCTCTATTTTGTTGCCGCGTTATTGTTAGGATGACAGGTTATTGAGTTGTTTGCAATCTACAGACGCAAATCCTACCTTTAACATGAAGCATATGCTTAGAAAATCATTGTTGTTTATCTCTTTAATAACCATATCACATCTAATCTAAAGTCAAATTAATTTGGGAATGTTCTTAATGAGCAATTCCTTCATTCTTACCTGACCCTCCATCTGAGTATGTTGTTGTCTGAGGTCGATATGCTATGATGAGGTTTGGGTTTTTGAAGAAGCAGCCATCTTGGAGAGCCATGGCATCGAGGTCCAGAGTCCAGGCGGTCAGTCCAACAGCGACGAGGTGGACGGCAACGACTTCCCCGACCAGGTAAACCATGATGATCATTAACTGAGCCGCTCAGAGGTATGGAACTGTGAACATGCAGCTGGGCTCAGTGAAGTTAGACAGTGTAACCGTGTTTAAATAAACATTGAGTCACATAGTAACCGTATAAGTAACCAGCTGTGAAGAAGTCTTGTTCTTGAGACAGAACATGAACTCTGTGCTGCTCTGTCTCAGGGCTGCGAGGTGTCCTTATTCGACAAAAGAGCTTCAGCCAGGCAGTTCGGATTCAGTCGAACTGACCTGTCCTCTCCAACCCAGGTACAACCCACCACACACACACACCCACACACCCACACACACACACACCCACACAAACACACACACACACACACACACACACACACACACACACACACACACACACACACACACACACACACACACACACACACACACACACGCACACACACACACACACACACACGCACACGCACAATGCCTCAAAAGAGCTCTGGCTTCAGATGAATAGATGAGCGCCGATTTAAAGATCAAGAACCGAGAACAAAAAAGTTCTTCAAACAGTCGCACCAAGTACATGCTACACAATCTAGCTTTCACCTTCTAAGAGGCACTGTCAACTTTAAAAAAAGGCCCACTTGCACTTATTCAAATGACCTACATGGACACAGCTAGTTAGAAATGGCAGATACAACCCTAACATGATTAAGGGCTTGATTTACCTTCTCGTCTGTGAAACACAAAATGAAATAGTTAACTGTTGGATGAACCTTAGCACTCAGGAATACAAAGGTGTATTTGTTTAACACAAGCAAAGAGATCTGTAAAATGTTTTCTATTAGCAATAAAGTGTATTGTATGAAAATCAAGAGCATCTCTCTTTTTACCACCTCAGTGCTGCTGAAAGATGCACGGCAGCAGCTTCCTGTTTGCTTTTTCCTTATTGATATTTTTTATAAGAATAAGATAAGTAAATATTAAATCAAGTGCTTAAGAAATGTTAAATCTCCCATTTCTCAACACAAAGCTATTTACAATTTTCCTCCCAGCATGACAAATCGGCTTGCCCAAAGCTACATTTTAGAAAATCCCAGATATTTAATTGAATATTAATCATCCGTAGGCAAGAGTCTTTCCATTCTTCAACTTTATCTACCATTAGGAACCTGACCTCCTGTGAATTTGGATGGATTTTGAAACACTCTTACAATATAGTGAAGAGACAAATGGATAGAGCCCTTTAACATCTTTAAAAAATCTACTCATCCTCCCCCCCGCCCCCCCAGGTCCCCACGCTGCTCCCTAGCTGGTTCTCCGCTCTGAGCAGAGGAAGCTTGTCAGGACAGAGGGGTACGACTCTGATTGGCCGCTCCTTAGTGTCAGCGGCTGGCCCTCAGGCGGAGGCGTCCAGATTGACAGGCGTGTCCTGGTCCCCCCCCTCCCCCTCCCTGCAGGACGAGCCCACGCTGTCCGAGCCCCAGGACCCAATCAGTTTGGAGAAGGCGTCTGTCAATCACAGCAATCAGGTGGAGGGGGCGGGCTGCAGCGGCGGGATTGACATCAAGACGGAAATGCTGGAGGATGACTGAAACGGTCAGCGGACATTTTAATTGGTCGAATGGAGAAGGATCAGAGGTGTGTTAATATGCAAGCAGATTTTATAGGAATGTAATATGTGGAAAAAAATAAAAGACCAAAAGTCGTGTAAACTCCAACCCTGAGATACCTCCCAACCCTACCTCCAACCACCAACCTGCTCTGCTACACTCATATAGGCATTACTAGTATATTATAATAAAAACAAAAAATAACTAACTACTTTTATTTTGCTCCCCAGCTATGGAAGACAGAACATGCCTAAATAAGTCAAATCAAACAGAGAAAGTGAAATAGATTAGGAATGATTTAATTATGTCTCAAATAGTAAATGCACAGTGTGTATTGTTTTTCACGTTATTTTTTTGCTGATTTGTTTTAGGCATTTTAAATCTTCCGTAAAGACTGACTAACAGGAAGTGATGCCATTTCGTTGGAAAGGGCATCACTGTATTTGACGCAGTTCAAATCATTTCAGGGTCTTGCACTGTGATCACAACACAACTGAACAGCCTCAAAAGATAAAACACATGTTATTTGAACTGATGTTGCGCTTTTCATCCCAGTTAATTATGTTTCTTTGATATGGTTCGCTGTTGGCTCCTTCCAATGAGTGAATCAGCAGAATAAGCTCAGTACTGTGGAGCTCACAGCAGGTAGGGGATATTTCGGTGGGTTTAAGATGATTTTTGGTAACACTTTATATTAAGGTACACAAATTAACCATCAACTAGTTGTTAATTAGCATGCATATTAGCAGTATATTGGCTCTTTAGTAGTCATTATGAAATACTTAATGCCTTATTCTATATGACCATATTCTACAAGTAATAAGCCATTAGTTGAGAGTTTTTCCTCAATAACCCTCTAATTAGTGCTTAATTATTGCAAGTAAGGAAGTTGTTGTACATGAGTTTTGGTCTTAATATGCTCTGCTCAATATGGGCCTAATAAGGCAGTAGTAGCACAAGAATAGTAATTCTCCCATAANGAAGTCCTCCCTCGACATCTAGTCCTTCAACCTACGTCTGTCGGTCGACAGTTCTACGCAGTCGCTACTCGACGTCTGTCCAAGTTAACCAATGGATAAGCCCATGTGTTGCGTAACGGTCAAATACTCCGAGGAAAACTACAAACCCATTGTTGTAAGTCGACCAGGTCAATAAAACACTGCAGACTTCAACTCAAGTATGACAACAACACAAAACCGCGTAACGACGACGAGACGAGACCCGGTCTTCTACAACCACAGGTATGAACATGTCCACGTTCGCATCAAAGTCGTTAGAGTCCTCCGAACGAGCACAGAAGACAGCTCCTAACATACCCAATACTGTATTCACCTTTCCACGACAAGAGTCCCGTATACTCGACACACGGACTCGGATGTGGCGTCACAAAGGTACGGACCCTTCTTGTAAAGACCGGTCTGTATACACCTTAAGCAACTCTCCTCTTCTTCCTACTAGTAGAGTATGTCCTTTCTTTGCGTAGTTTGTAATTTCCTCCTTAAGGAACGTTGTAAAGTTTATTTCAACTCCTGAATTGATGACGTGTCTGACTTTCATTCTCAAGGTCATTACCGTCTACGGGCTGCTAGCTTGAGAAGCGTGTGCGAGTTCTCGTCTAGTCTTCTGCAAATTTGGAAGGGGGTTTTGCTTTCTCAAGATCGGACACAAAGAGGCCCTTTCGTTTGCTTCAATCGCCTCTCTTACGAGCTCCACTTCGTAACCGCACTTCACTTCCGGAGTTTTCCTTAGTGTTTTCACTTTCAGGTCCCGCACACGTACGTCTAACCGAGAATGAGATGAGCTATTTTCTGCTCCCAATGGTAGGCTAAGTCTAAGGAGACCTGGGTCACGATTTTTCTGTTGCACTAGGGCTCCTCTCGCCCTCACGTCTGCGACTAGCTCGTCCTCCAAGTATTAACGTGACTTCTTCTTTCTTTGTTCGACGACCCTAAATTATCGTTGTCTAAGTTCTCGCCTACCTTAGTGACTTGATGTTTTATAGGCGCTCACGCTCCTCCTTCTCCCACTGTAGACGAGCTAACCTCACTTTCAACCTGGCATCTAATTTAGAACCAGTATGAGAGGACTCACTTCACACAAGGGAGGCCATACTAAACACACAAACTAACTTTCAACACTCACACTTAAATCACCTCACTCAACAACAGGCAAAATATCTGAGGCTACACAAACATCGACTCTTTTCAATAACAAACTTCCCCAGATCCTGCCTACCACAAACTTACCAACCTATCTTCTGGAGCGTGCTGGGCTTGAGGCGACTTTAAAGGCAAACATCAGCGGCCGAAACCCTGAAGCGCCTGCCCCCAACAGGGACTTGTTCATAAACAATAAGCTAGTAATTTGACTCTAATTGACCTGAACAGGTTCCCTATTCTAAAGTTGCCTCCTCTTCACACTTTGTAAATACATTATAGCACACAACTACTGAAATTAACCTTAACAGTACATGTACAAAGTAGGCACACGTTGAAAGAGTGGTTCAGACACATAACAAAACATGTAAAGTTTCTCGAAGGCTGAGAACACATATGCAGCCTGTACTTTTTTAATAAAAACAGATTTTTAACAGAGTTTATGTATTTGTGATCATACTGTGTGACCTGCTTGTATGTACTTACACACTAGGTGTACTGTTCTCTCTATGTGTTGTACTGTCTCAGTGTGAACATAGATTAAACAGCCAGCCAAACTCTTTTGAGAGCCAGGGAATGAGCAGCCATGCTCCTTTATTGACTTATTTGCAGTCCACTGACATTTCAAACAGAGTTAAACTATACAAAAAGAAGTTACAAGGCACTTAATGATCTCATACATGCAAGTGTTACATACACAGATTAACACATAGGACCGCTACGTTTAAACAAGGTCAATATAGCTAATGCTAGCTGTGCAATAAGCATGTATACAGGCTAGTATGGCTAATGCTAGCGTGTATGCTAACACATTTTCTCATTGTGTTTAAACCGTTTAAACATCTCCAAATGACATCACATAAACACAATACATGTTACTAATCCTTACAGTGTAAGTGTAAGGCTTACAGGTTGCATAGGGGAAATTAGTAGCAGTCTACTCATTGATGTCTACTGCCATGCTATATTCAGTTCACTTTCTCCTACTTCCTGTACCCGGTTTCCTGTCCAACCTTCAGTACAAATTTTACAAAAATATAAATGTGCAAATATGAAACATACAGGTCAATATCACCTTGCTGTATTGCTAGCTGAACTGTCAATTCCCCAAAACATATTATTAGATTTAATCTATCTAATTTTGAGTTATTGACACAATTAACACTTATAGTTTTATTGTGGGAGAATTACTATTCTTGTGCTACTACTGCCCTATTAGGCCCATATTGAGCAGAGCATATTAAGACCAAAACTCATGTACAACAACTTCCTTCCTTGCAATAAATAAGCACTAATTAGAGGGTTATTGAGGGAAAACTATCAACTAATGGCTTATTACTTGTAGAATATGGTCATGTAGAATAAGGCATTAATAAGTGTTTTATAATGACTAATGAAGAGCCAATATACTGCTAATTAACAACTAGTTGATGATTAATTTGTGTACCTTAATATAAAGTGTTACCTGATTTTGAAAACAGAAAAAAGCAGAAAGAAACTAAATGACTCACTCCTCATTTTGCACCCTGGTATAATAAGCTTAATATAAGGAAGTAAAGAAAGGACAACCTAAATTAAATTACATTTGAGGGGTTAGATTTCCCGCTTCGAAATTCTCAGTAGGTATTTCAATTTCTCAAAATGTAAAGACAACTGAAGAGGCTTTTTGTTGTTGTAGTGGGTTAGCCACTACTTAGCTTTAATGCGTTGATGTTTTAATTATAATTATACAACTTGAGACATTTATGAAATTGACTAACTTAACTTGAATTTCGACCCTTGATTTTATGAGTTTTTAAAAGGTTTAGAAATTCAAGTTTTTATTTTTATTTTTTATTTCAATTAGGGATGTATTCCAATACCCATACAGATATACTGTTCTGTAAACAAGTATTATATCGCAGTGCAAAGTATGTCACATGCGGGACGCCGTAAAATACCAGGATGTGCGTTCTGCGTCCGATTCTGAGATCAGATTTTGCAATTAGAATTTGATCTTATTAGTCCTGACTTTCTTAAGGCCTCTCTTTGCTTCTACATTAATAACAAATCATTTAAAAAAAACTTCCTCAACATATAAATGTTGATGGTAGCTAAAACTGTGTTTAGTGTGAAACTATAAACCCAGATGGCTGATCACTGTGAGACGATCTCTACCAGATCAGTCCGTTGGGAGGTATTACTACAGATTCAAGTGAATACATACATAAAGTACACATGTATGTACGTGCACACTCTCATAAGTATATATATATATATATATACACAGTATATCATATGAACTGGGGCATATATATATATATATATATTTATCCTGATCCATTTCTATTTACAGTATAATGACATATTAGCTTCAGTCAGTCTTTCATGTCGGTGAGAGGTGAGTGAAGCATTAGCCAAAGTATTACGTTTGAATTGTGTGTGTTTTCTGAGTGTGTGTGATGGATGAAGCTGTGTATTACAGATAGTGTGCTTATCAAAGATGCATCAGATGTGTCAAATTATTGCAAGGAAAATGCATTTCCTTTTTAATTTGTGAAGGTATATCTGTGTTTAGCTGGATATGCTATGTGTTTTAAACACATACTGTCATGTTTTGAATTGTATTTTCATTTGAAATGACACTTTATTGGATCAATATCATGGTGCTGAGAGTGATCAGTATGAATTAATGACTGACGAGAGAGTACGAGGAGAAATTAAAGCTTATCGTTGACATTTTAGAGAGGGATTCTCTTGAATCAAATACAGAAATAAGTGTTTTTTTTAAAAAAAATAGTCTAGTATGATCAAGAATTATTTATCACAGTACAGCCATTGTAGAATTCTTCGTCTGCATTTTTTCTTCGTCTGCATCCATACACAGAATTATAAAAAGTCAGGTTCTGCTTGATATCACTTTTGATGTCGCATACCAATACTAATCTGATGCCGCCTTTTTTTATTCTTAAGAAAATACGCTTTTTAGTAATACATTAGTATAAATGCACTTTGCTTAACCTCAGCATCTAGAAAACACAATTTTCACACTGAAACAAATATTATATTCTATAGGATAAATACAAATGGCAACAACATAACTCAGTTATCCAATACTTCTTTTAAATTAAACTTTTAGCAGCATTTTGAGTGGTCAGCACCATTCAAACATTCAGCACGAAATTCAAAATACAACTAAATATGGAATTATAATTCCAATTTAAAATACCCACATATCTGATCCATAATTTAAATTCAAAGAGATCATTTCAAAACTTCCAACTAAAGTATGCACTATATCTTTTATATATTTACTTTTTAAATAGTGTTGTTGAAATATTATCCTCTTGGTCAAAACTATAATATTGACTTTAAATCCAATATTGACTTTCCTTTTAGCCCTGTTTTGGCTTTCACCAACCCAAGGAAGCTGGCTTTTTAGCTGCTCAACACTCCACTACATTCACCAGCTAGCTGCTAACAGTTAGCCTGCTGCTAGCTGCTAACAGTTAGCCTGCTGCTAGCTGCTAACAGTTAGCTTGCTGCTAGTTGCTAACAGTTAGCCTGCTGCTAGTTGCTAACAGTTAGCCTGCTGTCAATTCTATCAGACTATGGCAGTGACACGGGCCTCTTATTGTTTGTGTAAGTGTAGTGAGCTTATACCTTACTCTGTATTGTGACATATTAACATTCCTCACCCGTAAAGTAAATAATACTTGCATTTAGCAGGTCAGTTGTTAGGTGATCTAGAATATTTCCGGTAAGTCAACACATTACATGTACCGTATGTTTTTAAGTTGAAGTGCCTTAATGATTTGGTGCATGATACAGACTTCCACAATGGCTGTACATCCTTCACTTTATCAGAGCCAATGCAGTAACAGCAGACCGCTTCCTTTCATCACCTGGTGCTTTTTTAGGCTAAGCTACTAGTTGAGAGTTAAAAACTCGACACAAATACCTCACGTTGCCCTGCTCAGCTATAAGCTAACTCCTCCCCCCCCAAGGTTCCTCCACAGCTGCTCCAATGTGAACGTGTAGACTGTAGAGCTGGTTTTCAGAGGAGACTAACTGTGACCCGGCTGAAGAAAGGGAAAGTCCTTCTTGAACTCGAGCCAATAAATATAAAGTTTGAAAACAGGGAAAACCCACTCCAGAAAAAAAAAGTATAATTCATAAGCTTCAAAATATAGATATAGAAAATGTCCTCTCATCCTGGTAGACTTCTCTTTATCTGATGAGTTCAGATTAAGAGATTACAATTGTTTGGTGGAATGTGTGTTTATTGTACGGCAGCTCAGCTGTCTTTTGCTTTAAGCGTTTGTAAAACATCTTGTTTTCATTTGTCATGCCAAATTAGAAATTGTTTTTATTGTCTTTGAAATCTGCCAAGCAGAAGCCTTCTGACGTGAATCCGTGGGTTCCTTGTTCCTCCTTAACGTGCTGTTATGAGATTATTTCAGGATTTTAAATCATGTCAGGTGCTGCCTTCGTGGTCCTCTCATTAAGTTGTACTTTGCCGTTCTGAAACAGCAAACTGATGTGAAATGAAAGAGTCATTTTAGAGCCAAAACTATGAAAGGAAGAAGAAATGAAAAACAGCAGAGAATTGAAATAAGACCAAAAAAACAACAAATAAGTAATCCCTTTTTGTTTATCCACGTGTCATTCCTAATATCTGGTCTTTGTGTCTGGACTTCATTTCATTCGGCTTTCAGCTTTTGACCCTAAATTGGCTCTGTACTTTAATTTTTGAAAGTGACTCAATTGTAGTTGATTATATAAAGAAGAAAAAAACTTTGTTCCTTCCTTAAACGGTTTAGAAAGCATATGCTCTTCCAGTTAGATTCAGGCTGCTAATGCACTTTGTTTCTTACAGTACTGTTGTATGTTTTTAGAGCCTTCAGTTGCCTTGCTGTACGGTTTTCTTTTGAAAGGACAAGCTGACTGATATTTCAGATCCGACCCCCGGGATTGACTTGGTGGAAACCATTCACCATATAATGTAGATGTTCCAGTCTTAATGTTGTTTAATCAGCTCATGACTGTCAATATAACTTGATTAAAATGTAAAAAAAGAAAACCTAAAGTGGGGTTTCCATTTCATTTTGCAATAAACAATTCAATAAGTGTACAGAATGAAACTGTTAGACCTCAGCAGGACGTTTGTTGTGTCACTTTGATTTGTATCCTGGGTTCTTTTCTATTTCAAGATTTAGTGCCTTTTTAGGACGGTAGACTGTTCTGTAATAGCGATGTAGAAAATCTACATATGCCTTTTGTTACTTTTTCATCTGTTGGATAAACCTTATTTGTTATTTTTAAGGTGTGTTTTTATTGATATTCTATTTACAAGGGAATAAAAAGTGATCTGAGTCAAAGCAGTGTCTGTTTTTCTTGTCTGTCTGATGGTGTATAGCAGTTAAAGTCGACTACACAAATAATTTTAGATCTGGTTGAAGTTCATTTGAGTTTTTCTTCTCAAACATTTTATATATTCACAGCTAAATATTATAGTTTGAAAAACAAATGGCAGAACTTGGAATCAAAAAAGTCTTAGTATACCGTAAAATGTAATTAATTCCTATAGTAAAGTAATTCAAGAACAGTATGCTATAATATTTGTCGTTAAAATACCGATTATAGCATGAAAAAAATAATCACGTCATACAAATTCGTAATTATTATTATTTTTTAAATTAAATTATTGTTAATTATAAATAACGTAGTACTGTATGCACAATAACAAATTATTTTAAGAAATATGTAAATATGTATAGGCCTAGTTTAATATGAAAATAAATTTAAAAAAAAGTGCTATGAACACTTGGTAGAAATAAAGAACAAATACTCTTTAAATCTTGCTTTTTTTATTTTTTATTACCAGATTACTGTTCAGATGATAAAAAAAAAAGATTATAAATGTATTATAATACATTTTTATTCTTTGGATTGCAGCATAGAATTACATAAAACAATTAAATTAATCAAAACCCAAACTTGTGCTGAGATTTTTCTTTTTATATAAGTCTTAATATGCGCATATATACATATACACGGAACAACCACTCTGATGGTGCACTCACACAAACACATGAAGGCAAACCCGTGCCACAAGATCAACAGACAAGTGAGAATCATTATTACCGTCATATAATAATACTGTTTTTGACATAAATCCCATTTTTATTATTCTAACTTTCCGTTAGCTGAATGTGTGAAAGGTCAAAGGGCTTCCATTATTACACAGCTCCCTTCAATATGGCCGCTGGTATCGAGCACATTTTAATGCAACACTGCATTGATACCAACTGCCTTTAAAATGCACCAAGAGAAGTTCTGAATCTCTTTCCTTTAAAACTGCAGAAAAAACAAACTCGCAACGAGGCCGCATTGCATCACCTATTGCTCGGTTTATTCTAATATTTTAGTATAAGCACAAATTGAACTTGATGCAGCTAAAAAGGCCTCAGGGAAGAAGATGTTGGCAGAATTTGTTGAAGAGGAGGTAGTAAAAAAAGGTGACCACTCACTACCGAGGCAGGAAAATGTATTGTAGTGCCCGGAAAATACAAAACGCCACCTCAGATCATGTGGCGTAAACTCCCTGGTAGAAAGAAGCTTTAGGGCAGTGGTGGTGGTGGTAATTTTTTATAATTTAATGGTGGTTTATAAAATTCCCTGTGTGGAAGTCCGGGTCTTTTCTCACCAAGGAGGCATCACAATGACCTGTGAGGCAGTCAGTAATACAGGAGTGAAAATCTTGTTCCAAAATCACTTACAGCATCCCAATTTTTCACTAAAAATAAATCCTGTTGAATAATACCAAGGTACACATTTGAGTTGTAGTACAGCATTGATGTGTTTAGTTAGGGATTATGGGATTGTTCCTGCTAAAAACAGCAGCCTGGCTTCAGGTTGAAGGCCACATTGAGGCAGGGCTATCCCACAAATGTAACACATATATGGGACCATTTTGAGACAAATAAAAGCACTTAAGACAAGAAGAAAAACAAAAGAAGCTGTCTGAAGATTGATACAGATCAGTTTGAATATGTTGGACACACAAATTGAAACAGTTCTCATGGTTCTTCTGGTTGATACAGTCACAGGAATAACACTGCTGGCTTTGCTTTGATCTCCACAGCGAGATGGAGAACACGGAGATAAACAACATTAAATCCATTCTGAGCAAAACAGTTATTACTATTTATTATAATGCTACTTTTCTCTTTTTACAGTTCCTTATTGAAATGGCAGGCAGCCCATCAGCTACATGTATCTATGTTAGCCTCATCTGATAAAGTCATGTATTAAGGATGCATGATTTGTGTCATGTAAAACAATAGATCCCAATTTCATTTAGGGCTGTACCAAATTATACACACATTATATATAATATAAAATATAAAAATAAATAAATACATTTTGCCAATTTTTATTTAGTGAGTTGTCGGCTAAAATGTGTATTTTTTATTTATTCAAACGACTTCCTTTAATGAATAGTACTTGTCACTGTGTGCCTTCCTTTGTGAATGGAAAGCAAGTGAGCAAATTTTTCATCCATCATGGTGAAAATGAGATATTTTGGAAAAATAAACAAAAAATATTAGTTTATACTAATAATATTTGTTTATCCCAATCTTTATCTACAGAAACACTAGCTTTGAACCAAATGTATAGACGTGCAAAATAAATGTTGATTTATAATTCAATGTCTGTCGTTAAGAATGACGTTTTTAGACATTTGGTACAGCCCTAAATCAATCGACATCCTTTTACTTGAAAGTGAGTTGAGCAGTGATTGACAGATGGAGAATATGAAATGAATAACAAATTAAACATGTTCAGTATAATTTAAAGAAGAAAAAACGTGAGAATCATTAAATAAAATCAGTTTGTATTTTTTCCTATGTTTAGAAGCAATCCAGAAATGAACTCTTTCGATTCCCGTTCTGGAGACTTTGTGCAAAATGAACGATATGAAATAAGTCATGGACACGTGGTTTCTGAGGCACGATAACACACAGGGACGCCCAGAAGCCTGAAGTGATCTCAAACCCCTAAAACAGAGCCAGGCCAGGACGGGAAAGACGGCAGGAACTTTCACTTTACTAAGTAAAGTGGCAGCTGCTGGTCATTTCCCATCTTGGCAAGAACTCGCTAACACAACCAAGTCAAAGCCGGGTCCAATTCACACACACACACACACACACACACACACACACACACACACACACACACACACACACACACACACACACACACACACACACACACACACACACACACACACACACACACACACACACACACACACACACACACACACACACACACACACACACACACACGACACACACACACACACACACACACACACACACACACACACACACACACACACACACACACACACACACACACACACACACACGTTTTGAACCACAATATTTTAAAACAAACAGGATTCCAACCTTTCCAACCAATCACATACGAGACAGCCACCCAGAGTAACCGACCGACCAATCAGAAGGTCCCGTGCTATAAGGCCAGATAATAAATACATTATAATTAGACTATGGTGATTTATTTTGTCTCATACTTCCATATTATATTTCTGTCTTTCTCACCCAGAGAATATTCCATCTTTTACCCCCACATCTTCTTCAAGGCTTCCATGACAAAGTGCCTCGTTTTTAGGAACTTTACTACTTCATATTCAAATATATATATTGGCCATTGAACCACTTTCGCTTTCCAGGTCTGCAATTATGTATTTTTTTAAACTACTGATTTCCAATCTACAGTAAGAGACACAGAGTGTCCATAAATCAGTGGATTCATTTACAGGAAGATATACAATGCTAATAGCAGCAATTATTCATGGAATCATTTGTGCAATATTAAAAAAAGAAAAGAAAAGGCTTTATCTATTTCATGCGATAAATGCATCTGTACAAGAATTTAAATATAAATAGTAAATTCAGGCGTCTCGAGATAAGAAGACGCATGATAAAAAGGAATGGAAAAACATAATGTATCCGTAAAGATGATAATGTCCGGACACACCATTTACGTGGTTTTCCAGATAATGTATTCAGACGTATCATTGCATCAGAAATCTAAATAGACTCCTGTAGTATACATAGATTAACTTAATGTCACTATAGTAACAGGATATAATAGCATATTCATGTTTGTCATCATCAGGATATGAACTTTTTAGTGATGGTGATATATTATATTTCCATCAACCTACATGCCTATTTCTCACTTGGTGAGAAAGCATCGATCCAACTCAGGATGACTCAAACCAAACACTTTACACAGACCTTATTGCACTTTGTGAAAGGGGTTCTCCTCTATGACATCATCAGGGACCGGAACTTCCTTTTTCTCTCTGCTCGGCTTTAGGAAAATGTAATTGTTACCGTATGTTGCCAGCACTACAGTGTTAATGTCTATATCTTTAGAAAATGTCAGGCATGAAAATAATAAATGTATATCATAGCACTTCCTGTTTTGGTTTCAAAATAAAAGCCCTCGTTAACAAAATCCTTTCATACTTTAATACTTTAATTCTGACCTGTTTGCAGGACAGTGTTGCACACCATAATGTCATAATAATTAATCAGCTTTTAATGTATTAGATATGTAAAATTACTGCTTTTTATCCATTTCCTGTCTTGGATTAATAAAAACGCCATTGGTCATTTGAATATATATGAAGGTTAATTATGACAGACTGTTGTCCGGGCGTTAAGGACTACAGAAGACTGTTCTCATGCTGAGTAGTACTCCCTATGATGAGTAAACTAACCTGAATGTGTCCCATTAGTGACTGGTGGAGAAGCATTGGTAGAACATGAGTATATTCTGTCTGCATTCTTCATGAATCGATGGTATTCATAAAGCCTGATCCAGTGCTGCACTGCTAATGCTCCTCCACAATGAATACACAAAGAATAAGGCCTGTGTAAATGTAAAACGTCCCTCTGGAATGTGAAAACTAATTTGTCTGCCACATCACCTTGCATTTTCCGCGGCAGACGTACCAGGATTATTAACTCAGTCAGAACTGCTTTAACCTTTGAAGCTCCCAGTTGTTTCATAATTCCTAAAAGATCAAAACTAGAATCTTTAAAACTGATCAAATGCATAGAAGCAAATCAATTCTCTTCTCAAGCGGTAAATACCCAGCTGAGCTTCTGCGTGTCCTTCTCACTTTCTTTTCCTCGACACATGCACATGCCTATTTCCCCCCCCCCACAACAACAGAGTGCTACAACGCCCCTTAGCGTCTAAATGTCAGACACTGAGCACAACCAGCACATTTTCCTTCAAGAACAGACGTCCACTATGCCCCTCATGGAGATATACTCTAATTTCATTTTGCTAGAGGAATCTGTGTACACTCTTCTACCTCTCTCTAACAGCACCACACACGTTCTGCTAACATACAGATGCTTCTTCTTCTCCGACGTCTCCAGTGCAAAATAGACTTTTAAAGCCTCTCACTACAAACAACTTGCTCCCATAGTGGCTTTGTCCAACAAGGACACACCTTTTCACGTAGAATGTTCAACTATGACTACAACAATTATTTGTGCATACAGGGCAACACTGTAACACACACACACACACACACACACACACACACACACACACACACACACACACACACACACACACACACACACACACACACACACACACACACACACACACGTCCTTTCCCCTCTGCAGTCCCTGAGATCACCTCACACTTAGCAAAAGGCATTCTCTTTAAAACACAAAGAATTACAATTAAATACACAGAAATGAAACCAATGCAAACCAAGCCATGGTGAAGGCACATTCTGGGAGGATCTATCTTCAAAAGAAAAGGGAGTCCAGGAGGAGGAGGAGGAGACGAGGCTCAAACAATGAGTCTGTAGAGAGTTCAGCGGAGTGGCAGCGGGAGCAGGGGATTCTGGGACATGGAGTCTCAGGATGACTAGGGGAGACATCTTATCTAGGGATGCAAACACTTCGCCACACAGTCTGACTGCCTTAATGTGAGCTGTATGTCACTTTGACCTATTTGAATTTAAAACATAATTTAAAATCAGATTTGGTCTATTTTGGTTTACTAATCCCAAAACACATTATTTTGAGTGTGGAGGGAGGATAAGAAATGCCAAAAATGGCCATTAAATATTGTCTGTTTTAGAATGTGGTTGTTAGGCTGAATAGTATTTCTATTTTTCTAGTACTATGACCACTAGAAATAATTTATGATGGAACCAACTGGAAAAGATGACTGCTTTTCAATCTAAAATGCTCTTTTTTTGCACTCAAAAAGTTAAAAAAATATTCTCAAATGTCTTTTTTTTTTATCAAAAAAGGTGATTCCTTCCTAAAATGTGACCCATTTGCATCCCTGTATATTAGCTCAGAGAAATTCTGCAGCACATCCTCCAGGCTGCAGCGCCACATTTCCCCCCCCCCCCCCCC